GTAACCCTCGCCACCAAGAATCCGGTTGAGGGCAAACTGGCAGCCAAATGGGAAGGACCTTACGTTGTTAAAGCCAGGCCTCGTCCGGGCACTTACCGACTTCAGGACATGGAGGGCCGAGATCTCCCCCACCCATAGAACGCCGAGCACTTGAAGCGCTATTTTCAATAAAAGTTCAATTCTTGTATCAATCTTTTGCTGTATTTTCTTTTTGACAATTTACGCGCTTGAATGTTCTTATCTTCCTCTCATGTGATGTAAATCTCTGATCAACTAGGCTACATTTTAATGACAACAAGCTTATATCTCAGTTATCTGTGTGGTCTTTCAATAATGCTTTGATTGCAGCCTTAGCCAGACTGAGCACGAACATAAAGCTTCAGCCAGACTGAGCATAAAGCCTCGGCCAGACCGAGCATACAAAGCCTCAGCTAGACTGAGCATGAAGAGTTTAGCCAGACTGAGCATAAAGCCTCAGCCAGACTGAGCACGAAGAGTTCAGCCAGACTGAGCAAAGCCTCAGCCAGACTGAGCACAAAGAGCTCAGCCTGACTGAGCATAAGGCCTCAGCCAAACCGAGCATGAAACACCTCAGTTAGACTGAGCATGAAAGGCAGCCCTTGCACCATCATGATTGTGGCATAGTTACCATACTTAGTCAAATTCCAAGTTCACGTTTTTACGCCTTTTCACACTGCTAAAGTCTAAGTTTGGGAACAGCTCTTCTGCTTTACGCTTAAACATCTTCCAGCCACTGTCCCAGAACTCAGCCATCTCGTGCTTGTAGAAGTCTGATCGCTGGAAGCTCTGGATTACCTCTTCTTCACTCCTGCTCCCAGCAGTCGTTCCCGACGGACCAGCCCCCCCAGACCCTTCCCTTGCCAAGTTACTGGCGATTGCAGCATCAATCGTCATCTGAAATTTAGCAGACCCCTTGAACTGCTCTTCTGCAGCGACATACAAGTCGGGGTATGCTACCCTCTCAGAGGCTAACTTGGTTTTCTTTTCCTCCAACTCCTTCTCCAATCCCACATTCTCCTCCATCGACTTGGCCCGCTCGTCCGCCAACGTCCTCTCCAGCCCAGCAATCTTCAGATCCAACTCTTCTTTCTCTTTGATTGACTGAGCTCGAAGATCTTCGTTGCTGGACATGGCCTCCTCCCACCGTTTGTTGGCGATGGTGCAGGCTGCATGGGCCTCTTCTAGCTTCTTCTGCTCGTTCCGCAATTGGAACTCGAGGGACACCACCTTGCGGCGTTCCCCCTCTAGCATCAACTTGGTCACAAGCAGTTCAGCATTGGCTCGATCGGCTGAGTACCCCTGTACCATCACCAACACTTGCATCTTCTTGGCCTTCTGGGCCTCTTCCAACCCCCTCGCCCACACACTTCGCACGGTCTTCCTCCATCCAACAGTTTCTCTCCTCAAACTTTCAAGTTGGGCCATCGCCTCCTCCAACTTGGCCTTCAGGGGCTTCATTTCACCTTTCGCAGCTGCCGCCTTTCTCAGCAGAGCCCCTGCTAAGGTGGTCGCCTCCATTTGGGCAGAGTACAGCCCCCTTAGCAGCTCAGCCTCATTGAACCTGGCCACCGAGTGCACGACTGCTTCATCCACTATCCCTAAAAGGCGATCTGCAACTGTCCTGGCTAGGCCTTCTTCTCCCTCCAGTCGCCCAGACACTGCGCGAGCATGGTAGATGGCAGTATTCAGCCTTACCCCCTCTCCTTGGGGCGCAGGACCCTCCTTGGGCTGCTGCTTCACCCCCCCCCAGGACCAGCTGACCCACTCTCCACTTGCATCTTGGGTATGGCACTCACGTGCTCTTCTTCCTCTTGGTCCCCCTGACCTTTGTCCCCCTGCACCTCTAGGACAACCACCCTTTCTGGGGTAGCCCCCACTCCCTTCTCCCTTGCCTTCTCTGCCATAGAGGTGTCCTCCCTACTGACCCTCGCCTTCTTCGATCCAAGCACATCTGTAGCCCCCTCAAGGGCACCCCTCTTCTTCTTCTTCTTCTTCTTCTTCAACGCCTCCCCCTCCTTGTTTGCCCTTTCCTTCACCGGGTCAACTGGGGGTGGTCGTGGCTCAAAACTACCTAAGTCCTTTTCCCCCAACGGCTTGGGGCGCAGTCGGATTCGCTCCCTCGCGATCGGCTTCGGGGCAGGCCCCAGTTGGGTCTCCTTGTATTTGTTCGCTCGGGGGAACAACCTCCTTTACTCCTCCTCCTCCGCCTTTCGTTGCCTCTCTAACTCCTCCCTTGCCGAATCTTCTTCCAACGGTTGTGGCCCCAAGTTCAGGGTAAACAACTTCGAAGGCAGGATCAGCTCGTCCCACCTCACCCCCTTCTCTTCCCTCTATTCCCTCACCTTCTTCACTCGGTCCTCCGCCGCTTTGTCCAACTTGGGCTCGACCGATTTGGTGGGCACCTTCCACGTCGTGCGAACCCCAACTCCACCGTTCGCCATCACAAAGAACCATCTCGGCCTCCACCCCTTCACCGAAGATGGAAGACCTATTACAAACCCTCGCCCTGCCACTGCTTGTAGAGTCACCCAGGTCTCCTGCTGACCAGAGGCCTTGTAGCAGGAGAAGAACTCGTCTACTAATATTGCCGTCCCCCGGGTCGCCTTCAGCCAGGCACTCGCGTACACCATTACTATCTTCCAGGTGTTTGGCATCAGCTGCCCTAGCGCCGTCCCTAACTTGTTCAACACCTCCACCATTACCGGGGGGGAGAGGTAGCCTCAAACCCCCTCGCAGCGCCTCCTCGTATAGGCTGAACTCGCCCGACCGCACATCCGATGCCCTCTCCTTGGATTCGGGCAGTCTTAGCCCTATCTCCGAGGGAATTTGATACTTCTCCCTTATTCCCTCCAGCTCCTCCACTGTAAGTACGGATCTGTTTGGTTTGGTATGCCTATGGTCCGGCTCCACCTGACTAATCGGCCTCGCAGCTGAGATCATTGTCCTAGGGCGAGCCCGCACAGCCTAACTCGCTTCCTCCCCCTCCCTACGCTCCATACGGTATTGCTCCGCCAAATCCACCGCATCGTCGTCCCCTAATGGATCAACCCTGGCGGCTGCAACTTCTTCTTGCGCCATTTCTGTGGTGTGTCTGTGAATGGCTTCGGATGCGAGTGTAAGAAAATTCACAAAGTGTTACAGGGGTGTATCACTAGCAACGAAGGAGTTTACACTTGGAAGATTTTGGTTGTTTGCGAAGAAATACGTAAAACAGATAATCCCAAAAGCCCAAGGTTTACCTATATTCCAAGGGTCACAATTAAATTCTCCCAGTTTGAAAATTTTCAAAAATCTGCCAAAACTGTCTTTTCAACACCTTATAATGACCTATTATTTCACTTATTGCCCAACGCCTAACCTCTCCCACTACGAGATTCTGCCATGTGTACGACCACGATCCACTGCCCTTTTCCCCTTCCCTGTCTATTCCACTTCACTTCAACACGTGACCCGCCGCCTCTCGAGCCCTGCGCCACACCACCCATTTTGCGCGGTCGGCCCTCTTCACGGTCGGTCCCTCCACTCGGCCACCCTCCATGCTCGTCCCCCCTCAGGGTCGGCCCCACCACTCGGTCGCCTTTGTGGTCGGCCTTCCTCATGGTCGGTCCCTCCACTCGGTCCCCCTTCATGCTCGCCCCTCCTCAGGGTCGGCCCCACCACTTGGTCGCCTTTGCTGTCGGCCCTCCTCATGGTCGGTCCATCCACTCGGCCCCCCTTCATGCTCGCCTCTCCTCAGGGTCGGCCCCATCACTCGGTCGCCTTCATGGTCGGCCCTCCTCATGGTCGGTCTTTCCACTCAGCCACCCTGCACGGTCGACCCTCCTCATGGTCGGTCGGCCTTCATCCTAACGGTCATTTCCTTCATTATTCCCTTCCTTGGACTAAAGCTGCACTTGGAAATGGGGGACTACTGACATGAGTAAACCCATAAAGATTATAGTCAACCATTTATGGCCCAATACATAACTCAAATGCTAAAACCCAGCACTATTGAAACCCCATGTAGCAATAAGAACCAAAGGCATCAAGACACATAGCAAGAGAGAGGCAAGCCACATCAGCAGACAAAGATCTGCAAAGTTATTGCCACGACACATTGCCATTAATGAGGCCCCTTACAGCATTTATTGCGATAACCCCTTTACGTCGAGACAGAACGCCTTCATTCTGAACAAGGTAAGCTAGAGCATAGACTTTTAGCCAAGGTGACAGGTCGGAAGGGACAACGTAATGATTACCAAAGGATATAAGCCGACGTCGAAGACAAGAAGAAGGCTAAGTTTTTCTATCTCTAATCTATCTATACATTTCACTTCTCTCTTTCTAACTTGCTCGTCGGAGGGTTCGCTTGGAGACTCCCCGTTCCCCGTTGAACTCTTGTGCAGGTCTTCTGGTGGATTTGGTCATTCGGACATAGGCTCTAGGAGCGTAGATCAGTCCGACCCGTTCCACCTGAAACAAACAGTATCATCAAACCCAAATCTCTTTTACGATATGCTTCACCCCTTAAGATATCCCAAATAATAAGATAGGCTTGTCCTTGATGGAAAATTCTATATTATTGCTCGATTTAATAGTTATTCCTTAATCCTTTATATAGAATGGAATAGTTATTTCTATCATCTTGGCAACTTTTGCTTCTCTGTTTCTTTTTCCAACCCTTGGTATTGTTTTATTATTTTTAATAAAATATTATCTTCCTTTTGTTGATAAAAAAAAAAAAATTACAAGAATTCGTGTTGCACACCATTATTTTAACATTCGTACTTTTTACCAACTGACAAATATTCATAATTCAGCACAAAAAATGGACACATTTTTGAGCGATAAAAGCCCGACATCATCTCCTTCCTAAACTCTTCATTGGTAAGAAAAACATTTGAGGCAATTGAAACTGAAAATTCACATGATCTGTTTATTAAAGAGAAGAAGAGACCATTACATTTATGACTTTAATAGAGAGAAAGAATGTATTCTTCTTACAACAACATTCTTATTATTGCTGTGGCCACCACAGAAAGGTCATGAACCACTTTGTTCATATCACTCAGAGGTGATTTAGATTGGCCGAAACTCTTTTCACAGGATTCAGCCTCATTTGCAGCATCAACCATACTTGATTCGGCAAACTTTGGATCACCTTTAGTCAAGGCCTCAACAGCAGTTGGGATGACACCCAAAATACCATTGTACAAATCAACACAATTTTTCAATGGACCTCTCAGCTGTGGAGTGGAGTTTATAAGCTTGTTGATTTGGGTTAAAGTAGAAGTTGATTTGACCTTGGTAGCATCAACTACAATGAGGCCTAGAGTTGTGAGATTTGAGCTTCTGCTTCTGGGGTCTGCGGTTAGAGTTGAGATACAGAGTTGATAAAAGGGTGTCCTCTGGCATGTTGTGGTTATCAAAGAAGTTGCTTGAGCTGAAACATTGTGTTGGTTTGATGGCGAAAGGAAGGCTACAAGGAAGGTGAGTAGTGTGAGAGAGATCAAGTTCTTCATTATGGGGTAAGAGAGGAGATTGGGATAGACAATGGTGTTAATGTTGTTGAAAGCCGAAGGTATTAGCTAGCTCTTATATAGGATTCAAATATGGGCCATGTTTGGTAAGTTGGTTATTTTAGTAAGTTATTTTAATTTTTGGTTATTTTATGAGGCTAAAATTTTTGTGTTTGGGAAGATGGTTGGATTTTTTTATAGTTGAATGTGATGTTTGTGAGAGAAAAAGTAAAATAATTATGAATTTGATATGATATTTTGTCTGATTAACTATTTTTTACTATTTTTTAACCAATTTTGTGCTTTAGTATTAAAAAAAGAAAAAAAAAACACTTCCCAAACACCACCACAATCTTGTTTGGGAAAGGTTAAAAATTAGTTTTTTAGGTTAAAATTTACAAAAAAATAAAATAGGTTAAAATAGTCAATAAGACAAAATATCACATCAAAATCATAATCATTTCACTTTTTCTCTCACAAACATCACATCCAACTATCCTAAATTAATTAACAAATTAGATTACTTGTCATCTATAATGGGCTGGACGGGGCAGAACCGGCGCCTATGCTAACGATTACCTCGTGTTGGACGTGAACAGCAACCAGATTCATTCTGGCAATCGATCGTATACAGATTTGGCATGCCCCAAGCCATCGTCTCCGACAACAGCAAACAATTCGACAATGCGCAAATTCAAGAAATTCTGTGCAGAACTTCAAATCCAGCCATGGTTTTCTCTTCCCCAGGCCATCCGCGCAAGCCAATGACCAAAAGTTGAGGTCACCGCACCGTTTCTCTTGCTGCAAGATTATGAAAACTAAGCTGGAAGTTTGCTAGGAACTCTGGGCTGAGGAATTATCGAATGTACTCTGGGCCTACCTGCACTACAGCGCTCGAACCCCCACTGGGAAGACCCCTTTTCGCTTAACATACGGCACTGAGGCGGTCATCCCAGTGGAAATTGGTCTGCCTACCCAAGAATTCTACACCGCGTCCAGAACTAACTGAGGAGCTACGTCGGGCAGACCTAAAGCCTAATCGAAAAGCTCTAAGAAACGCACTGCTGTCAGACAAGCCTCATACCAATAGAAGATAAGAAACATTAATAACCGCAAAGTCGGACCAAGGGAGTTCGCCATGGGGGACCTTGTTTTGGCGGGAGGTAACCCTCGCCACCATAGAATCCGGTTGAGGGCAAACTGGCAGCCAATGGGAAGGACCTTACGTTAGTTAAAAGCCAGGGCCTCGTCGGCGGGCACTTCGACTTCAGGACATGGAGGGCGGCCGAGATCTCCCCCACCCATGAGCGCGCCGAGCACTTGAAAGCGCTATTTTCATATAAGTTCAATTCTTGTATCAATTTTTGCTGTATTTTCTTTTTGACAATTTACGCGTTGAATGTTCTTATCTTCCTCTCATGTGATGTAATATCTCTGATCAACTAGGCACATTTAATCGACAACAAGCTTATATCTCAGTTATCTGTGTGGTCTTTCAAAATGCTTTGATTGCGCCTTAGCCAGATGAGCAGCAATAAAGCTTCATGCCAAACTGAGCATAAAGCCTTGGCCAGACTAGATGCTATACAAAGCCTCATGCGCAGACTTGAGCTACCGAAGATGTATCAGCCGCTCAGACTGAGCACGAAGAGATTTAGCCAGACTGAGCATCAAAGCCTCAAACGCCAGAACTGACGCACAAAGCCTCAGCAGACTGATGTTACGTAATCCCCAGCCAGACTGAGCAGAACGAACATAAAGCTTCAAGCCAGATGAAATAAACTGCAGACGAGCATAAAGCCTGAGCCAGACCGGAGCATATAAAAGCCTCAGGCCAGACTGAGCATAAAAGCCTCAGCCAGACTGAGTTACATTAAAGCGCTGGCAGGCAGACTGAGCACAAAGAGCTCAGGCCTGACTGAGAAAAGGCTCAGCCAACGGCATATGAAACACCTCAGTTAGCTGAGCATGAAAGCAGCCCTTGCACATCATGATTGTGCATAGTTACCATACTTAGTCAAATTCAAGTTCACGTTTTTACCGCTTTTCACACTGTCTAAAGTCTAAGTTTTGGAACAGCTCCTTCTGCTTTACGCTTAAACATCTTCGCGCACTGTCCCAGAACTCAGCCATCTCGTGCTTGTAGAAGTCTGATCGCTGGAAGCTTCTGGATTTACCTCTTCTTCATCTCCTGCTCCCAGCAGTCGTTCCTGACGGACCAGCCCCCCCAGAACCCTTCCCTTGCCAAGTTACTGGCGATTGCAGCATCAATCGTCATCTGAAATTTAGCAGACCCCTTGAACTGGCTCTTCTGCCAGCGACATACAAGTCGGGGTATGCTACCCTCTCAGAGGCTAACTTGGTTTTCTTTTCCTCCAACTCCTTCTCCAATCCCACATTCTCTCCATGCGACTTGGCCCGCTCGTCCGCCAAGGTCCTCTCCAGCCCCAGCATCTTCAGATCAACTCTTCTTTCTCTTTGATTGACTGAGCTCGAAGATCTTCGTTGCTGGACATGGCCTCCTCCCACCCGTTTGTTGGCGATGGTGGCGGCTGCATGGGCCTCTTCATAGCTTCTTCTGCTCGTTCCGCAATTGGAACTCGAGGGCACCACTTGCGGCGTTCCCCCTCTAGCATTCACTTGGTCACAAGCAGTTCACGCATTGGCTCGATCGGCTGAGTACGCCCTGTACCTATCACCAACACTTGCATCTTCTTGGCCTTCTGGGCCTCTTTCCAACCCCCTCGCCCACACACTTCGCACGGTCTTCCTCCATCCAACAGTTTCTCTCCTCAAACTTTCAAGTTGGGGCCATCGCCTCCTCCAACTTGGCCTTTCAGGGGCTTCATTTCACCTTTCGCAGCTTGCCGCCTTTCTCAGCAGAGCCCGTGCTAAGGTGGTCGCCTCCATTTGGGCAGAGTAACAGCCCCTAGCAGCTCAGCCTCATTGAACCTGGCCACGCGAGTGGCACGACTGCTTCATCCACTATCCCTAAAAGGCGATCTGCAACTGTCCTGGCTAGGCGCTTCTTCTCCCTCCAGTCGCCCAGACACTGCGCGAGCATGGTAGATGGCAGTATTCAGCCTTACCCCCTCTCCTTGGGGCGGCAGGACCCCTCCTTGGGCCTGCTGCTTCACCCCCCCAGACCAGCTGACCCACTCTCCACTTGCATCTTGGGTATGGCACTCACGTGCTCTTCTTCTCTTGGTCCCCCTGACTTTGTCCCCTGCACCTCTAGGACAACCACCCTTTCTGGGGTAGCCCCCACTCCCTTCTCCCTTGCCTTCTCTGCCATAGAGGTGTCCTCCCTACTGACCCTCGCCTTCTTCGATCCAAGCACATCTGTAGCCCCCTCAAGGGCACCCCTCTTCTCTTCTTCTTCTTCCTTCTTCAACGCCTCCCCCTCCTTGTTTGCCCTTTCCTTCACGCGGTCAACACGGTGGGGGTGGTCGTCGGCTCAAAACTACCTAAGTCCTTTTCCCAACGGCTTGGGGCGCAGTCGGATTCGCTCCTACGGCGATCATCGGCTTCGGGGCAGGCCCCAGTTGGGTCTCCCTTGTATTTGTTCGCTCGGGGGAACAACCTCCTTTACTCCCTCTCCTTCCGCCTTTCGTTGCCTCTCTAAACTCCTCCTTGCGCGAATCTTCTTCCAACGGTTGTGGCCCCAAGTTCAGGGTAAACAACTTCGAAGGCAGGATCAGCTCGTCCCACCTCACCCCCTTCTCTTCCCTCTATTCCCTCACCTTCTTCACTCGCGTCCTCCGCCGCTTTGTCCAACTTGGGCTCGACCGATTTGGTGGGCACCTTCCACGTCGTGCGAACCCCAACTCCACCGTTCGCCATCACAAAGAACCATCTCGGCCTCCACCCCTTCACCGAAGATGGAAGACCTATTACAAACCCTCGCCCTGCCACTGCGCTTGTAGAGTCACCCAGGTCTCCTGCTCGACCAGAGCGCTTGTTAGGCAGGAGAAGAACTCGTCTACTAATATTGCCGTCCCCGGCGGGTCGCCTTCAGCCAGGCACTCGCGTACACCAATAACTATCTTCCAGGTGTTTGGCATCAGCGCCCTAGCCGCGTCCCTAACTTGTTCAACACCTCCACCATTACCGGGGAGGAAGGTAGCCTCAAACCCCTCGCAGCGCCTCCTCGTATAGGCTGAACTCGCCGACCGCACATCCGATGCCCTCTCCTTGGATTCGGCAGTCTTAGCCCTATCTCCGAGGGAATTTGATACTTCTCCCTTATTCCTCCAGCTCCTCCACTGTAAGTACGGATCTGTTTGGTTTGGTATGCCTATGGTCCGGCTCCACCTGACTAATCGGCCTCGCAGCTGAGATCATTGTCCTATAGGCGAGCCCGCACAGCCTAACTCGCTTCCTCCCCCTCCCTACGCTCCATACGGTATTGCTCCGCAAAATCACCCGCATCGTCGTCCCCTAATGGATCAACCCTGGCGGCTGCAACTTCTTCTTGCGCCATTTCTGTGGTGTGTCTGTGAATGGCTTCGGTATGCGAGTGTAAGAAAATTCACAAAAGTGTTACAGGGGTGTATCACTAGCAACGAAGGAGTTTACACTTGGAAGATTTTGGTTGTTTGCGAAGAAATACGTAAAAAGATAATCCCAAAAGCCAGGTTTACCTATATTCCAAGGGTCACATTAAATTCTCCCAGTTTGAAAATTTTCAAAAATCTGCCAAAACTGTCTTTTCAACACCTTATAATGACCTATTATTTCACTTATTGCCAACGCCTAACCTCTCCACTACGAGATTCTGCCATGTGTACGACCACGATCCACTGCCCTTTTCCCTTCCCTGTCTATTCCACTTCACTTCAACACGTGACCTGCCCGCCGCTCTGCCAGCCGCTGCGCCACACACCCATTTTGCGCGGTCGGCCCTCTTCAGGCGGTCGGTCCTCCACTCGGCCACCCTCCATGCTCGTCCCCCCTCAGGGTCGGCCCCAACCACTCGGTCGCCTTTGTGGTCGGCCTTCCTCATGGTCGGTCCCTCCACTCGGTCCCCCTTCATTGCTGCGCCCCTCCTCAGGGTCGGCCCACCACTTGGTCGCCTTTGCTGTCGGCCCTCCTCATGGTCGGTCCATCCACTCGGCCCCCCTTCATGCTCGCCTCTCCTCAGGGTCGGCCCCATCACTCGGTCGCCTTCATGGTCGGCCCTCCTCATGGTCGGTTCTTTCCACTCAGCCACCCTGCACGGTCGACCCTCCTCATGGTCGGTCGGCCTTCATCCTAACGGTCATTTCCTTCATTATTCCCTTCCTTGGACTAAAGCTGCACTTGAAATGGGGAGACTACTGACATGAGTAAACCCATAAAGATTATAGTCAACCATTTATGGCCCAATACATAACTCAAATGCTAAAACCCAGCACTATTGAAACCCCATGTAGCAATAAGAACCAAAGGCATCAAGACACATAGCAAGAGAGAGCAAGCCACATCAGCAGACAAAAGATCTGGCAAAGTTATTGCCAACGACACATTGCCATTAATGAGGCCCCTTACAGCATTTATTGCGATAACCCCTTTTACGTCGAGACAGACGCCTTCATTCTGAAACAAGGTAAGCTAGAGCATAGACTTTTAGCCAAGGTGACAGGTCGGAAGGGACAACGTAATGTATTACCAAAG